TAAGATCGTTGAAATTACGGATCTGGGTGCTGTCCAAACCCATATACCACTTTAGAGCGGCACCAGTCAAACTGTCTTGAAAGTAGTGAATTAACAAATTATGATCATCAGAATATGTAGACATCTTTCTTACATACATGGTTAAATTACTCCGTGGACACGAATCACCTTTATACCTTTCAAAGTCCGGCACTTTGAATTTGGCTGGAATCTTTACATTTGGAACTAAACACAGGTCATGGGAATTATTTCCAAACAAATCTTTTCCTTTTAACACTCTGATCTCCCTCTGCATCTCTTGAAACTGGTCTTGAAATTCTTCCATTCTATCGAAAAGACCCAGACTTTCAGCAGGCTCAGCATGATAAGTAGGTTCATTCATGTATGGCATAGAATGAACCACAGGAATGGCAGTTGTCATCACTGGTTGAGGGAAAGGTTCCACAGGAGGAACTATAGGCAGCACAGTAGTTGTCTCTGGTTGAGGAAAGGACACAGTAGGTTGAACCAAAGATTGTACGACAGGCTGATACCCTTCTGGAACGAAGTTATAAGGCATTCCCCACGGAAAACCTTTTGGCATATGATGTTGAAGCGGAGAGTTGACTTGAGTCACAGATGTTGGAACGGTGACAATCTCAGAAACCACAGTAGTTGAAGTCTGAATCTCAGCAGCTGCAGTCGATGGTTGATTCTGAGCAGCCATCAAACTTTACACTACCGCAGTTAATTTTTCCATTCCGACACGAAGGATGGCAACCTTCTCGCAAAGCTCGTGGTTTTCCTGTTCCAGATCTTCCATCCTCCTCTGACGATTGGCTCGGGTATCGTACCAATGAGACAGCTTGACAATCTATCGGAGTGGAAAAAGAAACAAGGATAAGACTCTAGAAAACATGTGAAATGGAATGTTGGATGATGCATGATATGCAATGCAAATGATCATTTGTTTTGATAGTTTTTTAAGGACCTTTGATAATTTTGCACACATCAATGGTAAAGGAATTTGGAACAATAAAAACTCATTTCATTAATCAAAAGCGGTAAATTACAACTTACAACTTTGGAACAACAAAACAATAAATTACAACTTTGGGACAACAACCCAATAATAAAAGCAGTAAATTATAACTTTGGGATAACAACCCAATAATAAAAAGCAAGAAATTACAACTTTGGAACATGAAGCCCTTTTACAGAGTTTTACAAAATGACATCAGTAATAAAAATAAAACTAAGAACTAAAGATCACTCAGAATCATCATATGAAGGACAAAATGCCAACTGTAACTGGAGCTTCCTGATCTTCTCTTCATAAAAGTCTTCCAACTCTTTCTTCTCAGCTACCAGTTGATCAATGATTTCCTTTTGTGGATTAGGAACAAGAGCAACGCTTACCGAATCTTCCTTCTTTCTCTTCCTTTCACTTGCATACTTCTTCAGTAATGCATCCTTTTGACGAAGCTTCTCATCATGATCAATGAACCATCCGTCTTGAATAAATAGCAAATCCTCCTTTTCCTTTAGTTGTCGAGTCAGGACCCGATTCTCATATTCCGACATATTATACTTTTCTTTCCAAGCATCTCTCTCGGACTTCATCCTAGCCAGATTTCCTTGGTATTCTCCCATGTTCTCGATAGGGATATCAATAGATGATGATGCAACAGTAGGGAATAAAGGTTTCTCGGGTTTATAGGGCATCTTGAGAGCACAATCCCTAGCACGAACCCATTGTAGGTAAGGCTCCAAAGAAACAACACCTCTCTGTCCTAACATGTCTCTCCCTTTTCTATGGATGTGACGCCAAGCTCCTTCGATCTCCTTCTTAGCTACTTGATGATCTTGTCCTTCTTGTAGAAAGAAGCCATTCACATGGATGTTGTTCGGCTTATCCCTCACCGGGTATCCAAACTGACAGCGCGCAAGAACATGATTATAGTTAATTCCTCCTTTCGTACCAAGAAGAGGCACGTTAGGAAAAGCACCACAGCTATCGATGATCTTCACGTCATAGTAAGCTCGATTATACCAATCAATGTCGAAATGAGTGAGAGCCATAATTTTTAGCGCCCATCGCGGCTCCTTCTCGAGATCCCAGAAAACATCAGACCTAGGTAGATGAGAAACATACCACTGATACAACAACGGTGCATAACAAATAATCATCTCTCCTTGATAAGAGTTTCGAAGGTGGATGGAGTAGTAAGTATCTCCTAGCAGCGTAGGGAGCGGATTTCCAATCAAGAAAATTCTGATGGCGTTGATATCCACAAACTTATCAACGTTAGGGAACAAGAATAGGCCATAAGCGAGTAAAGCAAAAACGTCTTCAAAGGCAATGGTATCTTTTATCTCAGCGAAATGACGAGCTTTCTTCAACAAAAACTGCGCAGATAAGCCTCTGATTCCCCCTTTTGTAGTCATGTTCTCCTATATCTCTAACTTCTTCAAGTGGGTGATGGTCGCTATCTCGTGAGATTTGGGTTCCTCTTCTAAGCCAAAAAAAGGAACACAGTCGGTGATCGGCAAACCAAGTATGTAGGAGTACTCTTCTAAGGTGGGCATTGACTGGTAATCCGGAAAAGTGAAGCACCGATACAAAGGATCGTAGAATTGGACCAACGTACTAAGGATGCCTTCCTTCATCTTGCGCTTCATGAGAGGTATAATGGACCCATACTTCTTCTGAAACTCCGTCGGGTTCTCGATCTTAGGAATCAAACTCTTCAGCTCTTCAATCTCAGGCTCCTTAAAACTAAAACTTCGAGTGTTTCTTCTTCCAAACTCCATAATAACGGTACCTGAGATGTCTGCGAAAATCATTCTTAAGTTCCTTGAAAAACAAGTTTTTACAAAAAAATGTTGATGGATGCATGGATGAATGATAATGAACAAGTTACACACAAGTTCACAAATATGGGGTTCAAAGGTTCAACGTTTCGAGAATGGAGTCAAAGGTAAAGCCCACCCCAAGGTATGTACTAACGGTTTAATCACACCTGTAAGACAAGGTTCTAAGAGTTCCCAGAGTCTACATTCCTCCTTCGGATATTACCAACGTCTTGGTTACTCAATAATTAGAAATATTCTCAAGAGAAACTCATCCGAGCGTAGCATCGCGTGACAACAACTTCTGGATTACTCTGTTATAGTCTCCGCGCTACACCTAAAAGGCTAAGATGGGTTAGGGTTCTACGGTTCTCAGCTTCTCTGGCTCCCAGGTCGAAAATAATAATGTCTTCCCGATTACTCGGTAAACAAATACTACGTTCAAAAGGGCCTCCCACTGAGTGGGGGATTTCATGCCTCCTTCTTCGGGATTACTCCCTCAAAGTTAACATGACTATACCGCCCATCCTATTCTTAAGTGTAACTTAATCCAGGTATAGGATTCGTCCTTTGCAAAAAACCCAAACAAACCCCAATATAAACACATAATCAAACAAATCAAATAATAATAAAACAGATAAAACAAACTAGGCTTAATCCACTTAGGGATGGACCAGCAAGAGGTCAATCTTTCCCCAGCAGAGTCGCCATTTCTGTAGCGATAAAAAATGTAGCGGGGTAAATTGGAGATCGAATTATTAATTAATTCATCTCACAAAAAGCAAGAGTCGCCACCACGCTTTATTATTTCTAAGGGAAAAGGGAAAGGAGCGAAATAAAACCCTAAAATATGCAATGTAAAATAATACTTTAAAAGTAATGAAAATACAAGGCGTTTTTGAAAAGAAGTCTAGAGTTCGGGGGTTGATTATACAATGGGAAGGTATTAGCACCCAATGTATCTATAGTATTCTATAGGAACCTTTTGAAATATCTGTTTATTAAAAATGTTTGTTTTGATTAAAAATAAATTGTTTTGGCCGAAAATGGGTATGGACGAGTTTTCGGAAATACGACGACCTAACGTCGAAGTTTTGACTTAAAAGGTGTGAGTTTTGAAAAAATTGAATATTTGGGAAAATTATCTTAAGTTTTTTAACAAAGTAATAAAACGGAAGATGAATGAGGGTATTCGCGCTATGTGTTTGATGACATGAAGTCGGACGAAAGATATGCGGATTAACGATTAATTAATTAAAATTATAATTAAACAATTAACTAATGAAATTTAAATCATACTAGGATGCATTTTAACGATTAAATAAACAATCAAAAGTACATGAAGATTAAATTAAGAAATTATAGATTTTCAATAATTAAACACATAACAAAATTAAATCATGGAACATGTATTTTTTTTGAATAATTAAATAAACAACCACACAAAATAAAAATAAGAATTAAATAGTATGTTGACGAAATTAAATAAAGATGAATTTTAATTAAACATGTTTTTATGTGTTTTTTATAATAATTAATAATTATACAGCAAACTAAATTAATAATATTAAGTATGTTAAATAATATGGCCAAAAGAATAAAAGATAGAAAAATGACCAAACAAGGACTTGAACCCAGGACCCTTAGAATGCTGTAAACACACTTTGCCAATTGAACCATGCTGTCATTCATTAATTAATGTGATTCAAATAAAACATAAAGGAATAATTGGAATGGACTAGAAACAGGCCCAATGGGCCATCCGGGTCAAGCAAAGTAAGAAACAAAACAAAGAAACCCTAATGAAGGGAGGGCGCCGCGCAACATGTTGCATTGGAAGAAAAACAAAATTTTATCATTGCTTTTATTGGGAAGAGGGAAAGAAATTATATTTTATTATAACTTGGGAAGAGAGTAAAAGTTATTATTATTATTATTACAAAGAAAGTAAAAAAACAGTAAAGATATGTTGTAAAAGAAAAAAAACAATGTTATCCCAAACTGATCCAAACCTTCCCCTCTCATTATATTACACCTACTCTCTTCTCTTCTCCATTATAGAAAAACCTCTTTCTTCCTCCCTCTCCAAGATCCGACTCCGTCTCCCTCTTTCTTCAATATTTCTCAATCTCTTTTCTGTTTTTTTTTTCCGATGAAGATAATAGAAACTAAATAGTAGAAAATATTAAAAATGAAAAATGGAAATCTGGTGGTTTAGGTGGCAGTTTTGGAGATTTTGATAACAACTTTGGTGGTTCTGGTAACGGATATGGTTCTTCTAGTAGGAGGTTTGATGGTTTCGATGATAGATATGAGATGTCAAAGATTTCGTCGGAAGTGACGCCAAAATCCTTGAAGGAGATGTCGCCGGAATATTCTCGATCCTTCCCCGCCACCTGCTGCCGTGGCTCTTGCTGTTGCGGTGGTGTTGCATCTTCCATCACCGCGTCAGTTGGCGGAGCTCCTCCTCCTTCCATTATTCTTTCTCTTGAAACTGATTTGTGTTGTGCTTGTGATTGTGTTTGTATGTGAAAGCTTTTGTTGTTCAAATAGATCTGTGTTATTTCTCTCTATTTTTATTATTTAATAGCAAAAGATAACAAGCCCTTTTTGACAGCAAGAGCAAAAAATAGTTTTTTTTTATGGATTTTAAGATTTTTATAACAGCATAATAGTTTTATGGATATTTGGATATTTAGAAAACAAAATATTTTTGGATATTTGATATTAGAAAAGCAAAAAAAAAATTTTTGGTTTTGTAACAACAAATATTTTTTTGGTTTTTTGTAACAGCAAATGTTTTAAAATTTTTGTGACAGCAAATGATTTGTGGACTTGGAGACTTTGTAAAGCAAAAAGGATAACCAAATTTTTTTTGGACAGCAAAAGGTTTTGGACAGCAAAATATTTTGGACAACAAAAATATTTTGGACAGCAAATGTGTTTTTGGGCAGCAAAGATGTTTTTAGGACAGCAAAAATATTTTGGACAACAAAAATATCTTTGGACAGGAAGCTCTAAACAAGTTGGGACAACAAGTTCTAAACAAGTTTTTGGGACAGCAAGATGGATAACAAGTATTTGGGACAGCAAGCGATAAATTGGTATTATGCGACGGAAGAAGTAAGTTTTTATTACACTTATTATCATTATCAATATTATAAATACTAACATGTTTAAATATGCTAACAATCATGCAGCAATTTCAACTTAAATACAATACAACAATGAAAATAATGATAAGGCAAATATTCCATAGCAAGGAAAAAAATGATACAGCAAGTGATTCAAGCATGAACATATGCAACAGTAGATATAGAAGAGAAAAAGAATATACCTATCGGAGCCTCTCCGATGGGGCTTCTAACAAAATGGTAAGCTTCCTTGAATTTGCTATCTTTTCCCCTTGCTGGTTTTTTTAGAACAACACTAATTTTCTGGTTTTTTCTACTTGCTGAAACTTTAGAACAACACTAATTTTCTGTTTTCTTTAACTGCTGAATTTTTCTTCCCCCTTTCTTGTGTTGACAAAGACTCTTATTTATAGTGGAGTGTGGAGGATTTTAGGGGGAAAAATAGTAGAAATTTAAACTATTTTGGCAAGCTGTTTCTATGCTTTGTTCTCACAAATTACTTTAGCCATTTTGATACAAATTGCTGCCACTTTGATGCAGGTTGGAGCAGGTTTTTGGCAGCACTTGGAGCTGCTGTATGTTGCTGTTTTTTTTTACTGTTTTGTAGCATTTTACAAAATTTCTCTTTGCTGTTTTTTTCAGGTTATTTGGAGCATTATTTGACCAACAAAAATACAACAAAATGGGCTTGAAGAAATGTTGCAAACATGGGCTGCACTAGCACTTTGCTGAATTTTTTTATGTTGAAAATAAATCTTGTATAAACTTGTAGCTTTTTGCAACTTTGTAATAAACTCCAATAAATTGTAACATTGAATAAATATGCATTCTTCAATATATTTCCACTCTTTGATAGTTATGAATAATCTTGAATCTTCACATAAACATGAATTTTGATATATCTTGATAAAAATTCAAGACCTTCCATTTAAATTTGGGAAATAATTGAATAGTACTTGGATGAATTTTTGAATGAAGAATAAATAATAATGCAAGTATTGGACTTTAATCTTGCATTCTTGTAATAGAAATCCAAATAAATCACATGGATTAATATTATAACCAAATAAAATTTCCTCATGTAATTAAATAGAATTCCTCACTAACTTCTTGAAATAATACTTCAATGTATTTAAATAACCATGATGTAGATTCACCAAAATAATCACAAGAATAATCTTGAATAAATATCTCATGTGATAAATGAATATTCTTGGATGAGATCTCTTGATAGCTCCTCTTTAATTATCACTTGGATTCAAATAAAGAAAATTCCAAATATTCTGAATATTCCGAATAAATTCTTCTAGAACCGTTTTTGAATTTAATTATCCCATTTTGGAGAAATTCAATCTGCGTCGTGAGAAAATTTGCAGATGACTTTTGGTCCAAGAAAATCAAAAATGACGGTATAACCTGTTTCTTCTTGTATTTTAGAATAAAGTGAAACACACATGAACCAAAGCCGGTAGAATTTTGACTGTTCTTCCTAAAAAATATTCGGAGAAAAACGAAGACCATTTGTTGGACAGAGTGTGGAAATAAACGCACAATTCTCTGAAATTCTTTGATGAACCAGTCTTTTGAAAATTAACGAACGACATCATTTCTATTCTGAGACTCGAAATCCCGATCGATGTACAACGTCTAATGCTCTTCTTTCAGACCTATTTTCTGCACATGAAAACAAAATAGCAAAACATGCACTTCGTGCTTGATTAGTGGTTAGTCATTCATAAAAATGCTCGCAACACTCGATAATCTCTACACAGTCAAAGCTCGAAATCGAAACGTTCGAAACCTACCGTATTCTGTGACCTTGATGCGTATAAAAAAATAATAATGCAGATGGAGCAGGGATCTTAGGTCAAAAATTGGGATATGACATATAGTATTCGGCCCAAATGAATAGAGCAATAAAAGATACGTTATGATTGGATCAGATAGAAAAGCTAATTTTTGGCTATATTATAATTGGAAAAAAAATTTGTGATTGGATCAAATACATAAAGGATAAGAAAAATCGTCCAATTAGATTATTTGTTGATGCATAACATTGATTATTTTTATCCAATAGTTGAAAAAAGAAATAATCCTAATAAAAACAAAATTTAGCTTTTTTTTTACAAAAAGGTAAAATTGGGCTTTCCACAACATATTCATTTCTTATATGATAGATTGATTTATTGGTACTGAGATCTGACAAATACTTTATAAGTAGAGAAATTCAACTATCATAAAAGATATGAAAATCGTATATATGTTTTGTCATAATATGTTTAAATTATTTTTTATTTTCTCTAGTTTTTAATATTATTTTTACTTTTAATAAATAATTATTTCCTAAATTTTATTTTATTAAGGGTGTTATTCTAAAAATTAGAACCACTCTTCAAATTGTTTAAAAATTAGAATAGTCTTTATAGGGAGAGAGTGAGGAAAAACTTACACAAAAAACATTCTTAAATATTTTAAATGGAGAAATTTATGGAGAAAACTTAGATACAACTTCTTACGTGTGACTTTTATTATTTTTAAAAATATGACAATTGTATAATCTTCTTTTAAGCATGCGTAATTTTTTTTTATTTTTACTCTATAAATCATATTAAAATACACTTGTCATATTTTTATTAAAAAATGATAAAAAATACAACTAAAAAATTGTATCTAAATTTTCTTCAAAATTTATAGATATTAATTATAAGAGCATATATTAGTATGGAGATAGATTGGTAGATGTTGATAAATTACGATATTTAATTAGAAAGTAAATTTCTATTATATTCAAATTTAACATTCAAGTATTTGGGAAATATTTTTATTATAAAATTCTTTTTGGGCAAATATTTTTACTATATATTTAAAATTAGAGGAATGTGAATGTGCACGTGGGCAAATATTTTTACTATATATTTAAAATTAGAGGAATGTGAATGTGCACGTATGTATTAAATCTTTATTCATCGTTGCTATTATTTTTCATTTTATTTTTTTTTTTTAAATTGATAAAATAAGATAAAATGATAGATAATTTGGTACTATTTTTTAGGAATTAATGGTTTGACCGTGAGATAAAATAAATTATTTATGAAAGATTAGAATATTTTTTATTTTTCTATAATTGTGACTTGACACATAATTACAATTGATTTAATGGTAGTGAGATCAGACAAACACTTTATAAATAGCGAAATTCTAGTATCATAAAAGATATAAAATCAAATTTAAGTTTTTGTCAAAATATGTATAAATTACTTTTTTCTCTAATTTTTAGGAATATGTTATGGTTTGACCGTGAGATAAAATGTTTTTCTTTTCAAGATTGATAAAATAATATGAAATGATAGGATAGTTAGTTAATTATGGTTTGACCGTGAGGTTATTATTTTAGTATATAAATAAGAAACTCAGTAGAGTGTGACTCATTATTATTATTTTAATATACAAGTAATAAGTAATATCAAAGTTTCTCCTTCTTAGAGATGATGACACCGACTCTTTCCAACTTAGAAAAAGAGGTTTGTTTGTTTCACCATTCACTATGAATGCATATTATCAACCTTGATTTTCTTTGTTTCTTGTATTTCTAACATTGCATGTAGATTTTCTCCAAAAACCCTAAATAGATTTTGGCTGTAATTTTTGAAATGTTTACGCTTGGCTATATGCAGGATGATGAGTCTTTCTTAAACTACCTCAAGAGTCTACCTCCTATAGACACCAACAACTGTGGAGCATCTTTGAATTCACTTGACATGGATTCTACTCCTACATTTCACTCCTACGTCATATCAAACTTTCTCGCCTTAAATGAGCCCATGAGGTACTTGTAATATATTCTTTTCCTGTTTATGGATGATTGTGAGTTACCATATTTGATACCTCTCTTTTATTCATTGCTAGAAATAACCCTTTAGATACATCAATGCCTCAACATTTTTCTGAGGATTCACATGAAGAAGCTGATAAAGTTATTGCCACCCAAGATTACTCACCTGGACATCATCCTTTAATCTCAAGTGATGAGTACCCTAACTATCTGCTAGACTTTCTTGCCATGCCAGTACCGAATGATATCTATGTACAAGATGGTGCTATGAAAGATTCAGTTGAGGGTGGAAATTATATTCAAGAAGTAGGTCAGATCGAGGCAAACATTGAAGTTCCAGATTGTGATGGCGAAAACGTTATTAGTGAAATGCAATCTTTAACTTTAATGGATAGAAATCCAATTGAGTGGAAGAATGCTAGTAATAAAATGTGTGGGAGTACTAACATAATGCCATTTCAGGACCTAACAAATAAACAGTTGAATCCTCCAAACTTGAAAAGGAAGAGGA